AACTGTACATCATGTAAGTGGAAACCATTCTGTTTGTTGTTCAGTATAAATAAATTTCTATTCTATTCTATAATCAGAAATGATTATTGAGTGAAGAAATTAGTTAGCTCCCTTACTATTTTATTAAAGGGAAACTGCTGGAAGGTGGGGGCACTATATCGTTTATTGAACTATACTAATCATAAAGTGGAATTCAGTATTTGATTATGGATCAAAGTAATCAGTTGTCATCGTTATTTGGTTACATATGCGACTTCGGTCTTTTGGATTTTCAACTATGGATATTTCTTTATGCGCCCTTTGTTGCTATATGATTTCAGTTTGTTATTTTGTCTGTGATAGATTCAAATGTCTTCATATTATATTCCAGGGAAGATGATGATAAAGCCGAAGTGTCTCCCAAGACCTCCGAAAGAATTTCTGGCCGACCACCCTTTCATTGTTTTTCTTCTCGCAGTTTGATTATGTTTGAAAGTCGTGTATTGAATCCTCTCGTCTGAACGGGCAAGGTAGGCTGTTGATTTAAAACCGTCGCATGTTTTGAGATTGGAACTAACAGAGAAAGTCTCCATAATGTGTTAAGAAGTGTAGGTTGTGTTCTAACAGAAAACCTTCATTTCCAACACTGAAGGAGGTATTACACCTACAATATGTATGAGATACGAGGAAAGAGAAACTTTCGAAATATTTTGTTAGCTTAAATTCTATGCACCCAGTGAATGTTTTGTTCCAATCTGTAGGAAGGGGTGAGGATGAGCATACACTTTTCTGGACTTTCAGTCAACAGTCTCCATTCTTTGAATGTTATTTGAACACTACATTCACTATGGTATTCTTTTCAATACCATGTTCAGTTTTTGATCTGCTTTAGTAGGTGTAGTTCAGGTAAACGATATAGTGCAACCTGAAAGCTTCTGATAATTCCCCTTTCGTGTTAGGAATCACATGTTAAAAGGTAAGACCTCGTTAGTCCTCAGCTCGCACAAGTTTCTCAACTTCTGAGAGTTGTCGTTCGTATGGAGGCGACAGCTAATTAACGGAAAAACAGATTTCAAACAGATTCTCTGTTCCACATCACTGTCGTCATTTAAATCAATAATTGATTTATTTCCACCATTAATATGGTAAAATTAGAGACTTCTTCGTTAATTAGCTGTATTACCCTTCTTATCAAATTTTTTGGAAAATTAACTTGATGCTTTGTTTCAATTTTCCCCACATCAACTCGATGAGATTGAAAACATAAAAATGGGGGGAAGTCTCCATACTTTTCAGCAATACCCTCAAGGGCATAACCGTTTTCAAATGTTTTTGTCTGTAAAACATCAAGTAGTTGGTTTTTGGTATAGTAATTTTCAAAATAGAAATTGTTATTCATTAAAAAACTTTGTATTTCATCTTTCCTCGAATTTTCATTCGGTACTTTGATGAGCTGTCGCGAATGATAGGAAGCGTTATCAAGAACTATTACAGTATTCGCATCCGAATTTGGGATCAATGTTTTTCAAACCATTCCTCGAAAATATTAGCTTTCATGTTTTTATGATAGTCAACATTGCAGTCCTCAAGTTATTTTCCACATAAATTCAAAGAATTCGGAACCCATCCTTTACTTGCTCCGCAATGCACAATGATTAGTCGCGATCCTTTGTTTGCAGGCATGTTAGGCGTACACATTCTCAAACCATCAGTCCATCCTTTCGTAACTGTGTCGTGAGTGTCATACCAAGTTTCGTCCAAATAAAATTTGCCGTTGTTCTTGTGTATATTTAGTTATTTGTTCTAAGTATTTGTTAAGCAATTCCACTATTCTTCTGTTTTCCATAACTGCTTGACGTTTGTTTATTATTTCAAATCTAAATCCTAGTTTCTTTATCCAATTCTGAAGAGTTTTGTCACAGCAGTTCACGTTATGGCCAGAAGTATTCAATTTCTTCCTTATGATTTCAGTTGTAAGAATCTCATTGCTTTTGNCGTTTATTGTTTTTTCAATGATTTTATTAGATGAACATCTAAAGGTTTTGGTTCTCCCGCATCAAATCGCGTGTTGCGTTCATAAGGTTTGTTTTTGACTATTTTACGTACAGTTGAGAAAGGAATTTCGGTCAAATCTGATGTTGATTGTAATATTTTTTTCCCTCGAAACCAAACTTGATATGTAAATTCTTATATACATTGAAACATACTCTCTGTATTTCAATAGTCAAATGCATCCGACTCTTATTAACTGTTTTCTTTTGCATTGTTTACCATCGCTATTGGAATCACTCCACTGGAAAAAGTCTGCCTTCTTATCACACTCGTTATTACTATTAGTACTTGTCCAAGAACGCCACATTTCAAAACAGATAACAAACATTCCAATTAATTGTAACTGTACCAATATCGAATTTCGAAACTCAAATCGCTATCAGTTCCTGAACTGATTACGACGTCGATAACCATCCCCGTATTTTCCGATTTCTATTCGTCACCGTAACATGATTTCAAATTTAACTTTATGACTCTTCAGCCAATCATAAAACTCGCGTAGTGAAAATTATCCAATACGAATCGCCAATTCTGCAGTCCACGTGGACTATTTCGCAGCCGGTTCATTTCTATGTATTGTTTTTTTTGGAGTGCCACCAACTTTAAATGTTCACAATATCGTTTACTTCCACTATACTACAAATGAACTACAATTTTTTCACTCATCAAGTAATTGTTGCATGTTTGTAATACCCTAATATGATTTTGCAAGTTACTAATGCACAGTAATCTTTCGAAGAGTGTTGAAATATAAACCGTATAGAATTTGTTGTTTGTTATTTCTGGAATAACGATGGTGAAGACATGTAAATAACCACTACCAAAACGATTTTTAGCTGATCGCCCTTTGTTTATTGTTCTCACAAAAAATGACCATTTTGAAGTTGAAAATTGTGTTCTCTTCATTATGTCGATAGATGGCGCTAGTGTTATTGCATTCACCGCTTTTTCAGTTAGTACTAACTTTCAAAAGAAAGCTGTTGAAATTTCATGAAATTGTACTCATAAGTTTGAGAGTTACTGTGCTAAGAGTGACACTAGTTTTGTTATTTTCAAAACAATGGATCAAAAACAGTTTTGTTTTAATTTTACACTGCTTCTTGATGGGAAATAAAATAATGATAAAAAAACTTTTAAAGAAGCTTTCATTTGAGTGCCCTAAAAAGATCAAAATAAAATTTTAAATTACATTAACCACAGTAGTTGTTTACAGCTGATTCTCGGCCTCCCCCCACCACTATGACGTATTAATTGCTTTTTTTATTGGTTGTTGTTTGGTGAAGTTTTTTTGTTGTGCAGTGAAGTCAAGGCGTTGTGACCTTGAAGTGTCTGGTGCATGGATCGTTCAGATTTTTTTTTCATATGAGATTTTGTGTGTTTATGTGTGTGTGTAGGAGAATGCACGGTACAGGGAGGCATACCTTATAGAAGAATTAGCTTGTTATATATCTTAGTATATTCATTTCATTGATGGCGTCATTATTACATGGCCGAGTCCCAGTTGATTTCGAACAGTCTAATTCTTCTATCACGCCCTTCTCACCAAATTACACAAGTCATGGCATGCCTCTTGTGCCTGTTGCTCAATTTGCGTGATGGACCCTCTTACTCTGGGAACTTAGAGGCTGATGGATAATAATATTTTTTAAAATGCAAATAAATATGGGTTCTTACAACCTACTACACCATTTATTGGTTTTTTTAGAGTCGGGAAGTAGGTATTTAAAGGTAAAAGCTTGATTACATTTTTTTTTTCTAGAAATATATATTTTTTTATTGAAGCCAGTTCTGGATGTGGCATCTATTTCATGGTGGGCCTACCAACTGCCTATCATAAACGAATGCGTATACAAAATTTCGTATTCCTGCTATATACCGTCAAGGAGATCTCTCGTACGGAGCCGATCCTGTCAGCAGCATCAGGTCACGTTTATGATCAACATGCATTGTCATCGGTTCTGGACTAGCATGCAAAATTTCAGGTCAATCGGATACCGGCAAGTGGGTCAAATTAAACTTGCAAGATTTGTTAACATACATACAAGTTAAGTTAAATAAAAGCTTTTAAGATACCGTTCAAGCGAAGCAATGACTTGAAAAGTCATAAGAACTATGCTCCATCAGAAATAAAAAACGTTGGTTTGCTGACTTGAAACGTGGTCGTAGATACACCGATGATTGGGACGTTCAAATGAAGCAATAACGTAAAAAATCTAAGAATCGTTTGAATGATCGAAAAGTGAAGTTGCGTGAGTTAGCCGACATTGTAAAGATATCAAAAGAAATTGTTGGCTTTATATGGCATGATCATTCGACTATGAGAGCTCTTTTCAAAGTGGTTTCCGCGCGAGCTCACTGTTGAAAAAAAACAAGAACGTCTTGATGATTCTGATCACTGTTTGGCCATGTTCAAACATAACAAACCAGAATTTTTGCGTCTATATGCGATAAAGGATGAAAGATGGATCCATCACTCCACTCCGGAATCAAAACGATCGTCATCTGAGTGGAAAGCAATTGGTGAACCTCGTCTAAAGCTCCCGAAAGCACAACAATCGGCTGGAATGATTATGGCCTCGGTATTTTGGGATATGCGTGGTGTAATATTCATCAACTGACTCAAGAAGGGAAATATCATCAACAGTGAATATTATATAGCGTTATTGGAACGTTCGAAGGCCGAAATTGCAATGAAACGACTGCATATGGCGTAGAAAAAAATGTGTTTAATCAACACCTCGCACCGTCTCACAAACCAATCAAAACAATGGCCAAACTACATGAATTGAACTTCGAATTTCCCACATCCACTGTATTCGCCAGATTTGGCTCCCGGAGACTATTGACTGTACACAGACCTCAAAAATATGCTCACTGATAAGAAATTTCGCTCGAATGAAGAGGTTATTGCTGAAACTGTGGCCTATTTTGAGGCAAAAGAAAAATCGTTCTACAAAAGTATGGCGTTTTATNGTTAGACAAGTGCTTGGACACATCTCAAAACAAGCAGTTTAAGATGTTACAAAATACACATATCTCAAAAATTGCATCCAGGTAATCCCGAAAGGCGATTAAAATTTTGATATTGGCTATTGAGAAGACCTGATTTTTCTGTTTTCTTGGAAAATGTAATTTGGACAGATGAAAACACTTTTACGAATTTTGGGATATTCAACCGAAATAACGAACACATTTGAAGCATAAACAATCCCAGGCAGTTCCGAGAAAATCGACCTCAAGTGCGATTTAGAATTACCGTGCGTGCAGAAATTTACAAATATAGAATTTTGGGTACTCATTCATCTGACGGAATTCTGGCTAATTATAACATCTGGTTTCAACATGATGGTGCTCCACCGCACACTACTAGACGAGTATCTAATTACCTGGCTGAAAGGGTTTGTGATGAATGAATAGAGGATAATGGGCCGGTGAGGTGGCCAGCAATGTGTCCAGACTCAAGTGGTATGGATACATTCTTATGGGGTACACTGAAAAATAGAGTTCATGGTCAGAGGGAAAATCAAAATATTGAGGACCTTCAACACAGCATTGTTAGAGAGTTCGGAAGATTGAGAAAGAGAGAAATTGATCGTGCAGTGAATAATATTCGAAGAAGAAAGAGCACAGTTGTGTTATCATGAACAAGTCCATCATTTTGAGCATTTGCTGTAATTTACTTTTGTCTTTATTTGTTCAAAGTTCTATTTTCATTGAAAAGGACACAATGTCTAATTTACCTCATACACACCTCATTTATTAAATTTTGATTGTTGATTATGTCTTCGTATTTTTTCATTGGCTTTTCGAACGAAGCAAACTCAGTGAGATTTCGATCCAATAAATTGAACATAGTTCGATGTGGTTGTCGTGATTCGCGATACAAGTTTAAATACATTTCCGATGTTCTCACACATTTACCTGACTAACATATTGTTAGACAGGTAAATGTGCAACTTTGATCCAATTTAACCATTTTCATATCTCTCATAGTTTCCAAGACCCCAATGGTGAGGATCGAATTTGAAACATCCTGTATAATGATACTCTGCTTTCATTAATGTTCAAACAGACATGTTCAAATACATCACTTAAATTAGACTTTGAATTATTTTGAATTATTTTTCAAAATCGAAGTGAATGCTGATCTGCAGTGGCTACTTGATATTTTTTTATTAAAGTGTCCCAGAGGTCAACGGAAATTTTATTCTCAGAAGTACTAACAAATAGGCCATTCTAACAATCGGTATCAATCAATACTCAGAGATATCCCGCAAACAGTTTGTGCCAAATAACCAAAGTTTCATCTGCATCAACTACTTTGTTGTAGATCATCCCTTTATAATATTGTTGGTTGAAGTTGATCGATTGAACGGAAGAGCTAATGTTTTGTTCAAAGGTCGCATTTTTGAACCAAAGTACTAAAATTATTTGTGCAGAGTAAAAATATAGTTCTTTATAGCAGATTTTTTTTCGTCCATTATTGAATCAATTTATTTAATTAACTAGAGAAATAAACGAAAAATGTAAAGGGTAAAATTTAAATTGCTTCTATATACTGATACTCTACTCTACTATCATTATTGTTCAAGACACATGATGTTAATTAATGACAAGGCAAATTTCCTTTTCAAAATCGAAGTAAATGCTGATCTGCAGTGGCTACTCGATATTTTTTTATTCAACGACAATTTAATTCTCAGAAGTACTAACAAAGAGGCCTTTCTAACAATCTGTATAAATACTCAGTGATATCCAGCAAACAGTTTGTGCCTAATAACCAAAGTTCCATTCGCATCAACTCATCAATGAGCCAAAGCTTGCTTACCGGTCTAGCGAGGGCTTAATTGGTGTCTTTCTCTTTCAGCACTACGGGTGAAAGTAATAAAATGTGCTCGTCGTCGACCATCTCCACAGGTTCATCTATTTATCGCAGACCATCCCTTTGTTTTTGTTATTCAAGAGAAGCAACAAGAAACCGTCAACATATTGTTCCAAGGTCACATGATTGAACCAAAAGTCTAACTGAAAACAAAATTACTGCAAATGGTCTGATTAAGTTTGAATTCCTTCTATAACTAACACGTTTTCGGGTTTGCTATCGTTTTGCTGTTTCTTACTCTATAATAAAAAGAAGAATAAAGTGTTTGTCTACTTATTATTTTAAGCAGCTTCACCTCTTTTCACGTTAACAACCACAAATTTGAATATAATATTGACATAAATTGAAAGGGTATATTTTTAGGAGAGATTAATTTTTGAAATTTATTGCTTCCTTTCTTTCTTGGAAGATTCCCACATTTTTTGTATCAAGATGGAGAAGTAGAAGGCCAAAAACTTTCTTTCCTAATATTGACATTTCATTGACACAAAAACATCATGTATGCTGATATCTCCTTGCACTGCCAAGTTACGTGTAACATTGTATAAAACCCATCAGAATTCCAACAACGCAAGTGTCTGGTTTCGGAACAAAATTGTACCCATTCACAACCGAGTCAATTTCTCTCATTTTTTGTTTTCATCATTTAGGAAATACTTGGACAATGGCTCGTTAATAAAAAGTAGGAACACGTTCCTAAAACAAAACAGACATGAACTTATCTGAAAATATTGATGGACGTAGCCATTACTACGTGGTAGAAGATCATGTTGAAAAGTGATATGATATCTGATCATATGGAACACTAAACTGGGATGGTCATATGACTTTCATAAAATCTCGATACTTTTAAATAGACAGTCCAATGCACTGGAGCCTTAATCTACAGGGCGTTCCAGCGAAAACTTGACCTCCCCTATGAGTCAGAAACGGACATGTAATCGAAAACTTCAAATGACACGTCAATTTTTATTTCTAGGGGGACTAATTCTGATATAGGGATTATACCCGAAAATTCACCCCCCTGCGGTCAGCAACTAGCCTCCCTATTCTATTTGTTTCAATTGTCCAGTCATTATAGGTCGATTTAGGCCTGTATTTCGGAAAGTTGACATACCCAGCTGTGAATTTGTATAAACTTTGTATTTTGGGCATCATAAAAGTATTCTGAAAATTCACATATGATTCGACGTCCGCAACTTCAAAAATTGGAGGTCAAAAGTCAAAGAAACGACTTTTTGCACGTGTTTTGCCAGTATCTCGTTTCCAATGGGTTTTATGCTAATTATATTTATTATCAATATTGTAGAGAATTAAATTCCCTACAACTTTTGTTTCAATCATTTTTTCATACGTTTAATCATTTTTTGATATACAGGGCAGCGCGAGCGCAGATTAAATATTATTTGAAATCAACTGGTTGTCCCGATCGAAATCAGCTCAGTTAAGGTTTATAATGAACAATTATAAATAATTTTCGTTTTTTATTAACAAATACATTATATTAAAAATTTTTTTTCATTAATGAAGCGATCTATGACTTCAATAATGCAATTTATTCCTGTATTTCAAAAAGTCATTGAAGGATATACTTTAATTACATTTTAATTATGTTTTCTTTTACGGTAATTGCATTTTAAGTAGAAAATAATTCAGTAAATATTGTTTGAAATTTGTAAACTCTGAAATTCTTTTATAACTTTGAAATTTATCAAATTATCTAAGAACAATTCGTTCAGGCCAGTCTCATCTCCCTACACAGTATGTTAATGGACTGACACCTATCAGAAAACCACTACTCCCCTGGCTAATACCACGAAGGGCGTTGGATTAGATCTTCGTTATGCACAATATGTCAAGCTAACAAAGCTCAATAAACCTGTGCAGTTATCAAATATCTCACCAACAAGTGGAGCAGCTCACCAACATTTCAATCGTGTTTATTACCAAGTTCAAACTTGGTTAGGACATGATTTGGAACCACAGGGATGGGGTTCCAAATCATCTACAAAATTTAGATAAGAAAAAACTCATCGATTGTATAGGGGCTAATTTCAAAAAGTTGTTGTTTTATTTTGTGTTTGAATACTTGTTCCTTGGTTATAATTTTGAAAAACTCCGGAAGTGCATTATATAATCTCAGCCCCAAAATCTCAAACCCGTTCAGACGTAGAGATAAACGTATTTTGGGTATGTGAAAATATGTTTTGATGCGGGTAGTATATTCATGGAAAGATTGGTTTTGTTTGAAAAAATCTTTATTTGTACACCACTTTTGTACAACAAAACTTCCAGAATGTAGAGATCAGGTAGAGGCAAAATTTACATTTTTTAAAATAATGTTCTACACGACGATATTCGTGATGCGTTCGCAATGGTTCTAATAATTCTCTTTTGCGTTACAAAAACATTGTGTACAGGTGGATAATTTCCCCAAACAATAATCCCATAGTTAATTCTTGATTGTATCTGTCAATGGTAATATAAAAGTAGACCAGAGTAGTCTAGAATTTTTTTCAGGTTTCTTAACACATAACACTGCTTATTGAGTATTTTAGTGAGATTATCGCAGTGCTGACAGAAATTGAGATTGCTGTCTAGAAAAAGCCCTTTCTATTTCAACACCGGATATTCCAATATTAATGTCTACCGTGTTGAATTTTGGGCAGTATGAAAAGCTACTGCTATCGTTTTGGAGGCATTCAAAAATAACTAATTTTCACTGAACCAAATTTGCAAGTTATCAAGATCAGAATTTATATTTTGTTGTAATTCCGGCAAATCTTTTGCTTTATATAGAGGGAAGAATCATCAGCGTACAAACAAGTGAGTGACTTTTGCAAAACAGATGGCAACTCATTGATATAGAGAATAAAAAAGATTGGCCCTAAAACTGATCCTTGGGGAACACCTATGTCATTATTCAACTGATCCGAAAAGAAAGTTTCGTTATAATTCTCATTCGAATATTGTATCTTGACAGCCTGGGTGCGATTTGAAAGATATTATACGAACCAATCATGAGGAATACCTCTAATACCCGTTTTATATAGTTTGTTATTCATTCATTCTTCCTAGGATTGACAAAAAAATGGTCGCAAATGCTAAGCATCACTCAATAAGATATACACTATCTCAGAAGAATATCGCCTGAATTTGGAAATTTTTAGTCCAACTTTCAAGTTAGCATGCAATCTATACCTAACCCCACTTGATTTCTAGAAGGTATCCTCCATTCTGGAAACTCCAATTATACTAGAATGTACGATCTCGCTCGACGTGTGTTACATTTACTAATTTGCATTCATTGATACGGTTCTTTTCATTACAGGAATGCAAATAATGCTGATGTGCATGCCCCCACCACCAGAATCCTTTGTCGTCGACCATCCTTTCATAATATTGTTGGCTAATCAAGTGAATGGAAGAGCTCATGTTTTGTTCAAAGGTCGCGTTTTTGAACCAAAGTACTAAAATATTTATATAAATGAAGTTTAAATTAAAAATATTGTTATTTCCAACAGTTTTTTCGTTTTAATTATTTTATTTTATTCACTGGATGTAAACGAAAGATCTGGAGGGTAAATTAATTTTTAAGTCAAATTGCTACACTATACTAACGCTCTTGTTTTAATATTGTTCCTAATACTTGTGAAAATACATAAGTGAAGTGAAACTCTGAATCCCATGATAATAGTTACAAATTTTCGGGTTATACAGGGTGTCAATTTGAAAACTTTTCACCGTTGATGTTTTCCTTTCAGTAAACAATATGAGGAATCGAAAAAATAAGTCAATTTTATTGTCAAGAGGGACACTTTCAAGGACTATTCATAGCCCTCGTGGTTCAACCCCCTAGGAGGGGTAGATGTTACCATTAGAATTTTAAATAGGAAGGGGGTACAAGTGGCACATAATTTTGATTGACGTGCAATTCTGCTTCCAATGGTATCCTGACTTATTATTTTTTATGAGCATTTTCCGAAAAATAGCGTTTGACCCGAACTGGTAAGAAAGTTAGGTGGTACCGTTCCGACCCTTTATCAGGGGTAACATTAGTCATTAGCTCCAGTTAATTTACATCAAAAAGTAGGTAGGTAGGTCTACAGTGAGTGGGTCTATTCGACCCTCTACCGCAACCCATAAGGGTTTATTGTGGCTCAAACCTATTCACACTCGGCCAAATAAAACCAGCTTCTTAACAAAGCCGATTAGTTTGTATGGTGGGTGGTCTTTCAGGTCAGATGGTGAGAGTACGGATCTGCCGAACTCAAAGAACCTGATTCGGTCCCCAACAGGGCAGGCACATAGTATATGCTCTGCAGTTTCATCATTTTCCAGACAGAGGCGACACACACTGTCTTCCGACAGTCCAAGTCTCTGCATGTGATGATTCAAATGACAGTGATCTGTAAGAAGGCCTGTTAGACATCGTAGTTCATCCCTACTGTAGTCCAACAACTGTTTGGAATCAAGCTTCGAAGGGTGAATAAACGCCTTGGAGTAAGCCAATCCTGGAAGATTCTGCCAGGAGTCCATAACTCTTATTGCCATCCAGGTGTTCAGTGTTTGTTTGGCAAAGCCCGAAGCGATGCCAATGACAGGTTCTGGTCCAATGAAGCCGCTTGCAGCACCCTCCTTTGCAAGAGAGTCAGCAGCTTCATTGCCTTCCAGGCCAGTATGGCCAGGAATCCAGACCAGAGACAATCTGTTAAGTCTTCCTATCGAGGAGAGTCTTTTTTGGCAGTTTGCTACCAATTTAGACGTTGCTCGGTAGGAGCCAAGAGCTTCCAACGCCGCTTGACTGTCCGAAAATATTTTTATTGACTTGTGAGTGAGGTTGGATTTATCCATTTTCTCCGCACACAATTCAATAGCATAAATTTCTGCTTGAAATACAGTCGCATAAGTTCCTAGGCAGGTAGATAACTCTGTCCTGGGTCTGCGACTGAAAACACCTGCACCAGAACCGAAAGGTGTTTTTGATCCATCTGTGAACCAACAACTATCTGCTCTTAATATTTCCTTCTCCCGCAGGATCCAGTCCTCTCTACTCGGGAATAGTACTTTGTAAGGCAGTTCGTAATTGACAGTTGGAGGCATGAAGTCAGAGGTCATTTCCAGAATGCTGTAACTTCCAGTGTCAACCAACAGTCTGTTGCACTCTGCATTGAATTGATTTGTGTAATTGGCAATGTGCACAAGTCTGTATGCAGTCCATCTAGCCTCTCTTTTCAGAAAAAATGTGAAGAGGAGGTAGATCTAGAGGGATCTCCATGGCCGCTCACGGTGTGGTACTGATGGCACCACTGATAGCCAGCCAAGTCTGTCTCTGTAAGCCAGAGAGCTTCGCTTGGGCCGTTTTCTGTAAAGCCTTCGGCCACCAAGCAATTGGACCATAAGTGATCATTGGTCTGACAATCATCACATAAATCCAATGGATTTGTTTGGGACCCAAAACCCCAAGTTTTACCACAAATCCGTCGACATGTTCATAGAGACTGTCTGGCTTTGTGTAAAACTTTTTCCAAGTGAGCGTTCCAGGTGAGTCTTTTATCATGGACAATGCCAAGATATTTCACCTCCGTTCCAAATGGAATGACCACACCATTGAGGGAAAGTGGCGTTAGATCGTCCAATTTCACAGTTTTGCTGGGGTTGACAGACATCTGCTCCCTCAGGCACCAACTGTGAACAACGTCCAACGCGCTTTGGAGGATATCACAAGCTACCCTTCCCGACGTGGACCTTGTCAGAATGACAAAGTCATCTGCATAAGCTTGCAAATCAACTTTTCTTCTGTCGAGGGCATCAAGCAGACTATCCACCAGGAGCGACCACAGAAGGGGAGATAGTACCCCACCTTGAGGGCAGTCCCTGGTGACCCTGAACCTGATAACCTCGCCTTGAAGAGTCGTAGTTGCAGTTCTGTTTACTAGCATGTCATAGATCCAGCCAGTTATGGTCGATTCTATACCCTTTCTAGCCAGATACAATCCTATAGATTCAGGTAGTTCATTGTCAAATGCCCCTTCAATATCAAGAAATACAGCAACCGCAATCATCATCATCAAAAAGTAGTACAATAGGAAAACGTAAATGGTAGTAAAGTTGTGTTAAGTAAATGTGAATTTTCAATTCTTATTTCAGAAAGTGTGCATATAGCCGTCCTTTTTTGCTACTTGTGCTGTAAAAAGTCTCTGCTCCTTACGATCACCTTCAGAACAGAATGAATGTCATTCTTATAAAATGCAGATTCTTTAAGAGCTCCACGAGGATGATTATGATAGTATGACCTGTTTCAGCGATAAGTGTTCATTTTTCCTGAATGGCACAAAATTGTCGCTATTGGAGGGACGAAGACCCACATATTTTTCGGGAAGGGCATACACAACACTCACAAAAAGTTAATGTTTGGACTGTTATTCTTGGAAATGCCATTATTGGTCCATTATTTCTGGAAGAAAACTTGACTGGAAATCTCTACCTTGAAATGCTTGAAGAGACTATCGATCCTCTTATAACTCACGAGCTAGAAACCCAGATGGATGCCGAAGGATCTGTTACATTTCCAGCAGGACGGTGCTCCACCTCATTATTTTCTTTCCGTCCAACAGTGGTTAAACGAGAGATTTCCGGATAGATGGATTGGCAGAAGGAGAGCTGAATGACCTCCGAGATCACCGGATTTAACACCCTTAGATTTCTTTCTTTGGGACAACCTTAAATCCGTTGTTTATAAAACACAACCTTCTGATATCGAAGAACTTAAAAGATTAATTACAGCAGCATACCAGTCAATTCCTGGTGAAGTTTTCCGTAATGTTAGAGGGGAGTTCGAAAACAGAATATTACTGTTTAGAGTAAAATGGATGACATTTCGAACAGTTTATAACATAAGCGTAAGTTGATTTTATGTTTCAAATGTTTTTCTCGCAAATTTAATTCAATTTCGTAAAAGGACAATAACCAACAAATAAAAAATTCCACGCGTATTACATTTATTTCTGTCACTCAAGGGTTGGAACTGTGCCACCTACTCTTCTAACCATTTTCATTATAAGGAGTCAATACAGNGGAAGATATGAATACTTCTAAATAAATAAAATTTAGAAATGGTGATAAACTGGCATTTAATCAAGCCTTCACATTCTACCGAAATTGTGAAAAAACATTTTTGAATTTTGCCCGAAACAGCTGATTTGTAGTTACCTAGTTGTAGTATTCACCTCACAATATGAAAAAAATTGTGAATTTTCCTAGACTAGATTCGAACCCGGGACCCGTGGTTGGAAGGCAAAAAATCGAAATAAAAACTTTATTGCCTATTTCTCTTTACAATGTTTAGGGCTCCAATAAACAGTCTTGTGTACAAAATGAAAAATATACAAACTAATACATATGAGAGTGGGATTTCGAGGGGTAGGAAAAAGAAAAAGTATAGGGAAAAAGGGGGAAGCAGTAGGATATTTTAATGTTGAGCCCCAGGATGTTTACAATGAAAACGCCACTATATAGCCCCACGGTGGGGAATGGGAGAGCCCCCGCTGTGGCGTTGGATGGCTCCCTGCCCAGCAGAGCTGAATTACGTTTTGGTTGGAAGGCAAGGCACATCTAGACTTAGCTATCAGCGACTTTGAATGTGCGTATCTGTTTCTTAACATACCATGTTTTTCGAAACATTTTCTACATCGAAATAGCTTTTGAAACAAAACAAATTTGACTCAAATCTGTCAACATTATTGTTTGTGTGCGTAGATTTTTCAGTATTTTGATATTCTGTGTTGAATTGTGTTAAGAAACGAACTAAAACGGACATAGAAAATGAAAAGGACTTTTTTTCGACACCACCAGAAATTGGAGAAGCTGCTAAAGTTGCCTCACTAAATGTATTGCCGTAATGTAATGTAACAAAATTTTCCAACAAAAAAAACTTCAACAAAAATTTGTATAATGACTATTATTCTCTCGATGATTTAGGCCTATTTATTTCATGAATAAACAGTTCGATAGTGTAAATTGCGAAATTATCACAGAAAAGTTCCAAAATGTGAGAAATGAATTTGAGATTCAAATTTTTTATTTGGTTCATAACAAAGCTACAGCTTTAGAACATGTCACAAAATACCATCAAATTAACATATGCCAAAAGTAAAATATAAAATCTTCAGAAGATACAGTGCAATAAAAATAATAATACAGTACATACATACAATCGTGAAAGGCATCTTTGCTCTATGGTCCCGGGAGTGAATGGAAAAAGTCATTAATACCATATAGGGGATTTTCCGTAAGTAATGTCTTTAAATGTTTTTTAAATTTACTATAGTTCAGAGAACGTACTGTAAGAGGTAGGGCATTGTACATTTTAATATCAATAGTATCGTCCATTCTTTGTAACCGNTACTTTCATTAAAAGTTTTACGTGAGTACGTTAACATTTTATTATATACATTTTTACTAAGTCTATATGCAGCTTTGTTATTTTCGGTCGGGTGGTTTTTATAAAAGTCATATAGAAACAGTACTTGCTCTCTAGCTCTAAAAACTTCCGGTGTTACCCAGTTTGTATTGTTAGTTTTATATTGTCCTATCAAAGTTAAAGGAAAGGAATTGTTAAAATGGTGAAAGAAGGTCTCATGGACATTATTATCCTTTCTTGTGTAAAAGGTTTTTAATAATTTAATTTCAATTTCAGTCATATCACATTTTGTTTTTCCATGGATGTATTTCTTTACCATTTCTTCCGTCACATGTTCTTTAGCCCTTGATACAAATAGCCAAATTTTTCTATTATTTCTGTTTTTTCCCGAGTTAGTAACGTCTCAACCTTCAAATACAGTTCCAGCTGGATCTTTCCCTCCAACATTAGACCCCACAAGTTTTGTTCTTTTGTGTCTACGCTGTACAACTTCTGTGAACGTTCCTTGGTCATTTCGTATTGTGTTCGAAATTTCAGGATTCCTACCATCTGATTTATGTTGACTTTGTTTGTGTTTGATCACAGGTACGTTTTGTATGTAAGGGACTTTTGAAATAGAGGACGTTTGTGACCTACTTCCATAAGTCAAAGGAGGTATCAGCGGTGTAGCAGCTTCCCCTGTTAAAAGTTTAATCATGTCCTTATTGGAATCCTTCAAGTTTATGACTTCTTGTTTCGTGTTTTGGATGCTATCTTGTATTGTAATTTTTAATCCTAGAATATCTGCTTGTAATGGTTTGACAACTTTATCTGGTATTTCCTGTTTCATAGCTGCTTTAATGCATTGAAGTTCATTATGAACATCTTTTATGTCACTCAGAAGAGGTTTAGTAAATTTATCATTAATGTTTTTAACAGTGACATACTCCTTTTGAAGAAAAATATTTATTGCTTCTTCAAGTTTATTTGAGAGTTTTTTTATATCTTTTTGAATTTCAATGAGTGTAGTTTCTTGAGTTAGGATATATGTTGATTGACAGTCTACACATAAATATATCAGCCTTCTGGTTGACTACAAGGTAGCTGCTCTGTATTCAGTAGTTGGCAATTTCGCATATGTTTGACACAGTTTACATTTGCATTTATCACATATACTTAATGGGTCTTCCTTGGTCTCCACTATTTTGCATTTATGGCAATTCATTATTTAAAATTGTTAAGCCGGACCTGTTCATTCCAAAATCCAGTTAAAAGTCAAGGACAGTCATTGGGTCCAAAAAGTTAAACTGATAAGGTGATAGAAGTTGAAAAAGAGAAAGAAAAAACCGGCAATGAGAAATAATTTGAATTAAATTCAAATCAAACTATAGATGACTGGTATTTCCAAGCAAACGAATTATGTCATTTTTACTATAGCCCATCTATCTTGTTGTTGACCAAATTTCACTAATTATTGATCACTTTTTACCACTATAAACTTTACTTATTGAAGCGGAGATTGAGAACACTTGTACATACTTTAGAAATGTATCATTATTATGAGAAAGTTAATGATGAACATTTAAAATATTTACTGAGATAAACTGGAAAAAAGTTTTGAATAATTTTGTAATTATACTTATCATAGGTTTCCAGATTCAGAACAGACCATACCAACAGCCAAATACCCAGAACCAACTTATCTATTTGAAAAAGAAAGTTGGATAGAGAATTGAAAGATCAAACGAGGATCACAAGACTCCCGTTGATAGCACTTTCTTTGTCCTTAAAAAAACGAAAATCGGGTCTTCTACAGTAACTTCCGATCTTTGACAATTGATAACGGCCATCTTGTTGAAACTACATCTGTCAAATTATTGTCATTTATTCAGTATGCTTTTCCAAATCACCACGACGTGTGTTCGCGGAATGGGATCTGGTACTGTTGGCAACTGACCCTAATTTTCTTCGAAAACTCATCTTCAACGATGAGGACCATTTCTGGATGAATGGTTACGTGAACAAACAAAATTGTCGAATTTGGGACGGTACCAATCCACATGAGATCCAAGAGCGTCCAAACCATCCCGAAAAAGTCACTATTTGGTGTGGATTTTGGGCTGGCGTAGGCCAGGCCATTACTATCAACGGTGAGTACTATAGGTCAACGATTACCAACTTCTTTTGGCCTGAATTGGATGATGTGGATACCGACATGTGGTTTCAACAGGACGGCGCTACATGCCACATTGAATATTCTGCAGGAGCGATTTGAGGGCATGGTCATCCTACGTGGAGGTGATGTGAACTGGCCACCGAGATCGTGCGATTTGACCCCGTTAGACTTTTTCTTTTGGAGTTTTCATAAGTCGCAGTTGTATGCAAATAAACCACAAACCACAGCGGTCCTTAAAACCATCATAACCCATGCTATCGGTCAAATTTAGTCTGATTTATGCGCCAGAGTCAAGGATAATTGGACGTTTCGGATGCGCTTCACCCATTTGAACATTGTTATATTCCACACATAATGGCATCATCAGGTCTTTCAAACGAATATAAAATTTTGATATCTCACAGACACACTTTATTTTATTTAAATTTAAAGATAGGAATGGATTAATGAAAGACCCATTATAACGTCCATATTTTGTTTACGCAATTCGGTTCAGAAGTTTTTCCTCGGTTATATTTTCAATAATGGCTATATACAGGGTGTTAGTGAATAACTGCGACAAACCACTGGTTGCTTCTGCATGAAAAAATAATGTCAGTTTGCTATATAACTTTTGTCCGCAAATTCTTAGTTTTCCATTATACGTGGTGTTACATTTTGTATTAAAAACGTACTATTTATGTATTGCTCTTATACAGGTCGAGATATGCAAATACAATTTGGTGGATGTTAAAGAGGTAGTACTTGAGAAGTACGAATTGTGCAACAAGAAGACGTATTTCTTGAGTTAATTGCTCAGTCACTTCGAACAAGTACTCAAAAGATTGCCAACATATTGAATGTAAACAACTTCACTCTATTCAAAATTCTTGAAGAAAAGCAATTGTATCTGTTTCGTATTCAACGTGTGCATTGCAAACTCTACTATCCAGAGTTTTTTTATTATAACGTCCATATTTTGTTTACGCAATTCGGTTCAGAAGTTTTTCCTCGGTTATATTTTCAATAATGTCTATATACAGGGTGTTAGTAAATAACTGTGACAAACCACGGGATGCTTCTGCATGAAAAAATAATGACAGTTTGCTATATAACTTTTGTCCGCAAATGCTCAGTTTTCCATTATACGTGGTGTTACATTTTGTATTAAAAACGTACTATTTATGTATTGCTATTATACAGGTCGAGATAAATATGCAAATATAATTTGGTGGATGTTAAAGAGGTAGTACTTGAGAAGTACGAATTGTGCAACTAGAAGACGTATTTCTTGAGTTAATTGCTCAGTCACCTTGAACAAGTACTCAAAAAATTGCCAACATATTGAATGTAAACAACTTTACTCTATTTGCCTCGCCTGGTTTTTTCCCAGTGGATAAATCGCTCAAATTAAAATTTTTTAATGGCGTTTTGTTTACTTCGAGGCTGATTTTGGACGATAGGGTATATGAAATTTCCATAAAAATCACGTTTGGGCTAAGGAAAATCCACATGGAATATTTGAAGCTCATTTGTAACTCACTTTTCAGTAATTGCATGATTTGGGATAGTTGATCTTTGAATTGGTCCATATTTCCTCACACAACGACTAACAGACGACTCTCACCTCAATTTCCTAAAGAATGAGTAAGCTGTTCTTTTTAAAGAAATTCTTCGACAACTAAGATAATACTTCTGTTTCATGCATAATGGTGCACCAGCCCATTTCAGCATTGATGTAGGGTTTTTTAAAGCATTAGTTTATTTCACTACCGTTGATAATGTTGAAGACCTGTGGAATCGAATCATAAACGCTTGTGCGACAATGAGAAATATATCAGGAATATTTGCGCGAATACGACAATCAATGAAGCGAAAAGTTGAATCTTGTATCACGTGTGAGGGAAGTCATTTTGAATATTTGTTGTAGCTTTGCGCCCCATGTATTAGCTTTGTATATATTGGTGTTATTTTCTGTTATTGTTCTGGTTTGATGTCATTGTTTTAGATTGAATGAGAAATTCGAAAATGATTTTCGGTTGAAAATATCTCAGTAGCGTACAATTTTTTTCTTTGAAAAACATGGACATCATCACCCGTATGCGCGCCACTGATGATTGAAAAATTCTCAATTGCATGTCAACAAATGCGCAATAACTACCTCTCAACACCCACCAAATTTCATTTGCACATCTCGACTGGTTTCAGAGCAATACATAAATAGTCGGATTTTAAGATAACTTTGATACTTCGTATTTTGGAAAACAAAGCATTTGCGGATAAAAGTTATATAGCAAACTGTCTTATTCCTTTCATGCAGAATCACCCCCTGAAGTTTGTCGCACTCATTCACTAACATTTTGTATTACAAAATATATAAATATACTAATGCCGAACAGTTTTTTTTTCAAATTACAAAATTGTTTTTTTTCCAGTGATGATGATGGCAAATTCTTTTTGTGGCATTTATCGGCCACCTGTATTTGAGGAATTCGTCGTTGACCACCCTTGTATCGTTTTCATCCAAAGACAATATCGCGAATGCACCAACTTTTTGTTCCATGGAAAAATCACGAAACCGGAAGTTTAATACAAATTTAAAATACTTTCAAAGTCATTGAATTGTTATAGATATTACTTACTTTTTGTATATTAATGTTTAATAAAATTTATTTTGTCTAATTTTTTTCCATTTTATCATAATTGTGAATTCTGTACCAAAGTGGGCAAATCCACAAGATGAGTCAAGATTCAAACTTAAAAAGTGAGAAAATAATAACGATATTTCTAGAAATATCCATTTTTCTCTGCCATATGGCAATTCCAACAACCCGATAAGGTTTCTTAAGTTATTTTTTGTTTATAAAAACAAAATGTCAGTACGACAATGAACATCATTGTTCAGTTGGAATATTTTCAATTAGTTTTCGGTTTTACTAGTAGAAAGGTAACACGTCAGCAATCTCAAAAATGGTCAATTCTCGTCCATTGGAAGAAAAAATTGAAGCGATTTTGATTTACGGTGCGACGCGTACCTTCACGAGACCGAAAGTATTTTTAATGAACGTTTTTCGAATCGTCCTATCAGTAAAAAATATTTGAGGGAACTTGTATCCAAATTCACTGCCGGTAGTGTATATAACAAAAATCCCCCAGGTCATC